GTAAAGATTTTTTATTTGGAAATTCTGTTTATTTATTTTAAGTATTAATGTTTAATTCAAGGGTATTGAAGTAGCGGTGTCGAGATTCGGGCGATCTCTTGTGTTTGTGGCGCAGGTAGTGTGCTATCGTCTCGTTGAGGGGTTTTATGAGTTCTCCAAGTTAAAGTTGGGCATAATGTGGGAAGTTGCGAATTTACTTTTCTAAGCTTAAACTAGGCTACTGGTTTATGGCAGTTTGTTCGGGTCTTAGCTTTTTAATCAAATATTTGTGCCAGGCCAGCTTGGTGTTAGTTTTTGTTTTTGGAGGATATGACAACTTGTCAAATTTTGTCACTTTTAGCATGTCCGATTTTGTACTTGTGCTTCTCATTTGCTTTTCCGTCATTGCTGTGTCAGATGCATGGAATCGTCTACTATATGTTGATACTGTTGAGAAGTACTTGGATATGTGCCCAGAATCTGGACACTTGAAAGAACATCCATCTCCAGAACCTGATTTGGATGAATGTACCGAATGGAAGGATCGTACTTGCTGTCCACGAGAAACAGCTACTCTTATAGCAAGTGCAACACTACACGGTTTTTCTTTCAATTTCTGTGAGAATATGAGCAAACCATGTCGTGACTTCTTCCATTATGACTACTGCATGATAAAGTGCTCTCCTGATTTGGGCCCTTGGATTGTTAAGGTGTGTCTTACAATTTTTAATGCTACTTGCTCTAATCTGCTTAAATAATCGTTGTTTTCGACACAGCTTACAAGTTCCAGATTCAAGGAGAGGGCATTTAGAATACCGCTCTGTGAAAGTGATTGCAACGCTTGGTACGAGGCCTGCAAAGAGGATAAGGCGTGTGCTATCAATTGGAGATCAGGAGGCTTTGATTGGTCGGAAGGTGAGACTTTCAAGTTGTGCACTTTTAGTTTTTTTAATATCTTATAAGTCTCCTTACTTTTAGGTACAAATAAGTGTCGAGATGGCTTTACGTGTGTGGAAATCTCTAAGCTGTATGGTTCAGCGAAAACCTTCTGTGAGCACGTCTGGGATCACTCCTATCGAGTTGTGCCAGTAGAATCTGTTGCTGTTTGGAATAGCTCAGACAAACACTGCATGCATATACCACGTGGTGGGGGTGACCCAAATGCTCCGGGCATAGTTCGACACAATCACGAGGTGGCGCGACTCTTCGCTACATCCATTATCAAACGCGTCTACGGCGGTGAAAATTAGAGTTTATAATTGACTATTTTGGTTTATGTGTGTAAGCACTTTATTCTCTTGATTTATGGTTTAGGCGGCTACCAAATTCTTACCTATTTTGCATCGTTCTGTTGATTATGAATAAAATGTGGAGCTGTGTTTCACTGAGGCTTCTTTGTTTGTTTCCAACTTTATTGGAGCAGTCATACAGTGTGTGTGAGAGAATGGTGTCTAGGATCCGAGATGAATAGCTACTGGGTCTTAATAAGAAACTGTGTGCGTCATGCTGCTATTTAAGAAGAAAACACGTTTTTTTCGCTCAAACCGCTACTTGCTTCCAGATTCCCTCATGGTGTGCAGCCCGTTTGTTTTGGTTGGCAACTGCAGTATCGGCTTCCGAGCCCTTTTGCGGTTGTTTTTTCAGCAAGATTTCACTAACTCTACGCAGCTCTGGTTATCTCGG